AATTGTAAATGAACTGATTCCTCCATGTCATGCTCATGACTGTGCCTGAGCTGCAGCACGGAACTGCTGCTTTTTCTCTCCTAATCCTTACTATTGTCATTTTTTCCTCTACTTCTTTTGTGTAATTGTCACACTCTTGTGACCCGCTATTTCCGGGGTGCCTTGATAGTTGATGAAGCAGACTTTGGGCTGTTGAAGCTAGAGAGGTGAGCAGAGTAAGTCTGATTCCCTGTAAGGACGTCTCTGTTGACATCCACCCCTTGGCACTCTTATGACCTTACGCAGTTGCGAGCGCCGTAAAACCTCTAATGAAACTTTTTAAAATTTACTAGAAAGATGTATCATTGTCAGCCGGGCTCCCCTCCTGGAATGTTGATTGGGGCGTAAAAACACTTATTTAAAATAAAATAGTTGTACCCGTCCCTCTCAAGGCTAACCCAATGGGCCTACTCATGAATATTGTAGCTGCAGAAAAGACAGGGTGGCTTTGGAAGTCTGTTTGTTTATTTGTTTTTGTTTTTGTTTGTTTGCGATTTTTTAACGTTGTAATTTTAATTTTCATCTGTGCGTATGGGTTTATTCTTACAAGATTTTACATAGCCCACAGACACAGGAACATTGCTTCAGACAATGTATAATCATTACATACAGCCATTTGTTAACTGCTGTATTGTGTGTCATTTCAAGAAAGGGCGGTGTCGGTAATCTAGTGGTTAGGCTTCCGGTCTCCGCATCGAGAAATTGGGAGCTCGGGGGTTCGATGCTCTGCCCGGTCCGACTTTTTGTCTTCGGGAAAGCTTTTTTACGCGATTGTTTTTCCTTTTGTCTCTGTCATATCGGAGATGGACGTTAGATGTGGAGGTCTTGGTTTTTGAATAAGATTGCAGTGTTGCAATTGATACAATTTCGTTGTGAGACAGAGTGGTTGCGCATTTTTCGTATTACTCATAATGCATCCCCATCTTGGAAAAACTTTCGAAGCTGTTTTCTTGAAACCTGTATAGCAGACCTCATGTTCCTGGAAGTGAATAAATAGTTATGGTATTGTGTATCATATTTAGCTGTCACAGCAGTATGATCAAAGTGAGTATCTTTGGTATGATAACGTTGTATCAATTATTATTTAGCAGGCACAGCAAGCGGTTTTAGTTTAATAACTTTGTATCATATCATATTAAAGCGGTAAAAGCAGTTTAATAACGGCGTATCATACAATATAGCAGTCAAAGCAGTATATTAATTTTGTACGACAGGTTCTGGAGGGTCATGACGCATTGTCGGATCACGTGATGTTCAGCCCACAGATGGCCCAGATGATCTCATTGGTCAACCACACTGAGTGTCACTGCAAGGAGAGGAAGAAAATGCCCAGGTAAATGACACACGCGCACACACACGCACACATACACTCAC